AGACCCCAAGTTTTGTCATTATTGCTTAGTCATTTTCGAACAGTGCAAAACATCCAACTTGGCTCTCATAAATTTATGGACAAAGACAAATTTAGATGTGAAATACAGCTTTAATAGGAATTTAGACGGTTTTGTAGTTGTGGATGAATTGCACAAATAAAAGATAAAATAATAATAAATTGAGGGTCGAATTACTCCTTTTACAGTAGGTTAACGTTGAAACATGGAATTTGACTCTTTGTAAGCACAGTGTACAGGTAGCTCTTATTCCCTGATCTGCTGAAGCACATTCCGCGATTTACCTTCCTCACAAAGCTCTAGGCGAGAAGCGGTGAGAATTTTCAAGGTTGGGGTTCAATTTTTTTGGGTTAAGGTTCAATACTGAAATTTTCCGTTTCAATCAATTTTCTTTGTAGCTGCTGCTCCGTCATTACTCATTTTTCTTAATTCTTTCCCTTAATAAGGCGCCAGAGCGAGCGAGGTTCAGAAGATACTGTTCTTTAGCTCACTACGCCACCCACTCCCACTGTCCATTTCTTGAATCTTGACATATCTCCCGGACCCCACTCCCCAGTTCACTTCTAGACTAGTCCTATAAACTCGTACACAAAACCACAAAACAGTCTCATTCTCATACATACAGAGAGAGAAATCCAAATAGAGAAAGAGAAAGAGAAAGAGAAAGAGAAAAAGAGAGAGAGAGACAAAGGGTGGTTAGAAAACTCATAGTAGTTTAGCCATGGCAGGTCCAATTCCACTACATAACTGGAAAATATCGAAACTCTATTCAATTGTTGCTGTATTCGTCCTTTCCTACCTCTTCTATCTTCTTGGCGTCTGGCAACACGACGGCGCCGCCACCCCTGGTCTTGGTGCAACCACTACTTGTATCTTGCCCCGAAACACCACAACCCCAAAAGGACAATCATCAACAAGAACCCCACTTGACTTCACCTCCCACCACTCAGCCGACGAAAGAGGCGCCACAACTTTCCCCGACGAAACAATCAAGAAATACCCATCTTGTTCTATAAAATACAGCGAATACACCCCATGTGAGGACCCCAAAATGTCCTTGAAATTCAGCAGGGACAGATTGATATACAGGGAAAGGCATTGTCCGGAGAAGAATCAAGTGTTGAAATGTAGAATTCCAGCGCCTTACGGTTACAAGAATCCGTTCAAATGGCCAGTGAGCAGGGATCTTGTGTGGTACGCCAATGTGCCACATAAGGAACTAACGGTGGAAAAAGCGGTGCAGAATTGGATTAGATATGAAGATGACCGGTTCAGATTTCCCGGTGGTGGAACCATGTTCCCTCGTGGAGCTGATGCTTATATTGATGATATCGGAAAGTTGATTAATCTGAAAAATGGGTCTATCAGGACTGCCATTGATACTGGCTGTGGGGTATGCTTTCTTTTTCATTCTTGATACTATTCCCCGGCCCCACCCCAAGATTAATCCCTCTGCTTGGATCTTAATTGTAGAATTTTCTTGTTTCTTCTTTTTCCAATCTTGGTGAAGGCTAATTAATGCAGTAAGCTTGAAAGGTCCAATTATATGTAAAATAAGTAATTATTATTGCTGTAATTGAAATTAAGTAGTAAGTTTCACTTGTTTCTAAATTGAACCGAATATGCTCTCAGTATTATGAAGTTGATAGCGTTGAATAAGATGAAAGAAGTAAGAAATTAATATAGCCAGTTGTCTAATACATTAAATTTTTTTGGTACCAATCTACTTAAAATTGGACGACTGATGAACCACAGAAATGGTAAGTAGTAAGTTTTACTTGTTTCTAAATTGAACCGAATATGCTCTCAGTATTATGGAGTTGATAGTGTTGAATAAGATGAAAGAAGAAAGAAATTAATATTGCCTGTTGTCTAATACATTAAATGTTTTTTGGTACCAATCTAATTAAAATTGGACGACTTATGAAACACAGAAATGGTACTGCGTACGATTTTTGGTTAGATATTGACCCGTATTATTGACAGATTCTCTGAATTATGACAAGAAAATTAGTTGAATAGGACTAACGGGTTATGGGTTGGTGAGGAACAGTACACCAGCTTTTTTTATTTTTGGTCACCAGATCCATGCAGCAAGTCTGCTAGACACGTGGCATTATGGCAATGCATGTATGTTGTCTTTTAGCTCCATTACGTTTGAATTCATTGATAAAAAACTGAAATTAGATGCATGATAATATCGTGATTGAAAAAGATAAAGATTTTCATTGGATCTTTAGACCTATGTAGCGATAAATCGAAATTATGAATAAAGATTGTTATGTTGTTGATGCTTAGTTATGTTATGGCGGATTAGCACACTGAAATTCATATCCGGTAAAATTTCAGAAAAGTCTTAACCCCAGTGACTATGTTATATAATGCCAAAATAAGTATGCATGCTGAAAGAAAAATGTAGAATTGATTCTCTTTGAAGTTATTTTCGAAGTCATAAGTCATAAGAAAGTAGTTAACAGATTTAATGTGACCGGTGGGAAGGAAGACGCTATTAAAAAAGGGGAAAAAAAATAAAAAATAAGATACCCCTTTTCCTATTGGTCCGACCAGGAAGTAGCAAGTTTAAATTTATTAGTAAATGGTACTTGTTTGTGTGGTGCCATTCAGAAAGTAATCAACAGCGTTGCTCTTACAAGAGTTGGTGGATCCCTTTTCTCCATAATTACCATTTCATTTTTCCTGGATCGAGTTTTATTCAAGTTATAATCTATCACAATTAGGACTTAATCTGTCATTGTGTATTGCATTTTTAATGTTCCAGGTCGCAAGCTGGGGAGCTTATCTTCTGTCACGTGATATTCTTCCAGTGTCATTTGCACCAAGGGATACCCATGAAGCACAGGTGCAATTTGCTTTGGAACGAGGAGTTCCGGCATTGATCGGCATTATGGCCTCCAAGAGGCTTCCGTACCCTTCTAGAGCTTTCGACATGGCTCATTGTTCGCGTTGCCTCATTCCGTGGGGACAATATGGTAATGCCGAGGCTATAAAATGGTTTTGCTGCATTTTTGAACTGTGTTATCAATAAAATTTTAACTCAGAGTCTATCATAACTCATATGAGGATATTTACCGTTCTTATACAGTATGCTAGTCTGTTAGATTGGAGAGATACAGATCCTAGTGATTTTTTATATTATTTTATTTATTTATTATTTTTTTTAATCTTTAGCATTGATAATCTGGAATTTTGTTTTAATTCTCTCTTGTAATTTTGTGGTTGGGTTTTCTGTCAAAACAGATGGTCTGTATTTGATTGAAGTTGATAGAATTTTGAGGCCGGGTGGATACTGGATTCTCTCTGGTCCGCCAATCCGATGGAGAAAACACTGGAAAGGGTGGCAGAGATCGAGGGAGGATTTGAATGCAGAACAAACACAGATTGAGAATGTAACAAAGAGCCTGTGCTGGAAAAAGTTGGTTGAGAAGGATGACCTTGCCATATGGCAAAAACCAACCAATCATTTGCATTGCAAAAAAGTGCGGAAGAATTATCTGCCGTTGTGCCCTGCCCAGGATCCTGACAAGGCTTGGTATGTGCTCCTTGACGTGTTACATTGGATTTTTTTATACACTAGATGTAGAAATGAGTATCTATTTATGCTTGACATTCTAACTTTTCAAACTGCTTTAGGTACACAAATTTGGAAACCTGTTTAACTCCCTTGCCTAACGTTTCTAACAATCAAGAGGTTGCCGGTGGGGAACTGGAAAAATGGCCAAGGAGATTAAACGCGGTACCGCCTAGGATTAGTTTGGGGACTATAAGTGGAGTCACCGCTGAAAGTTTTCAGCGAGATTCAAAACTATGGAAGAGGAGACTGTCCTACTATAAGACCGTTAATAACCAACTCGGACGACTGGGAAGGTATCGAAATCTCCTGGATATGAATGCATTCCTTGGTGGATTTGCTGCAAGTTTAATTGAAGACCCTGTTTGGGTCATGAATGTAGTCCCGGTAGAGGCTAAGATCAACACGCTTGGGGTTATCTATGAACGAGGATTGATTGGAACATACCAGAGCTGGTAAAAGTTCCTAATTCTTGCTTCAATGTTTAATCATTTATCGAGTTTTCAGTTACTGTGGATTCATCTGGTTTGTTAAAAATTTCTATAAATGAATTTGGTGCAGGTGTGAAGCAATGTCGACATACCCTAGAACGTACGATCTAATTCATGCTGATTCAGTATTCACTCTTTACAAGGATGGGTAATTCATCTCTCTATTCTGGGCTTTTCGGTTGTCAAAATGTGTTAACCAAAATGCAACTTCCGGTCAAAATATTAGTGAAAGAAGAATAACAATTAGGCCTTGTTCCCAATAAATAAATTTAGGATCGAATAAAACTTATTTTTGTCACTCCTTTCGGTTCATTGCTAATATGTTGTACTCATTAGATTGCATTAATATTATTAATATGTTGCGTAACGTAATACATCTTTTTGGGTTGTTTCTAATGCAGATGTGAAATGGAAGATATTTTGTTAGAAATGGATAGGATTTTACGACCGGAGGGAAGTTTGATTATCCGAGACGACGTAGATATATTGGTGAAAGTGAAGAGGATTGCAGATGGACTTAACTGGGATAGCCAGATTGTAGACCATGAAAATGGACCACTAGAGAGGGAAAAACTTCTGTTTGCAGTGAAATTGTATTGGACAGCTCCAGCTTCTGCTAATCAACAAGGATCCGAAACTTCTTAGGATCTTTTGTTTTTCCTCATTGTCTTTATTCTTTTAGTTCCCTAGCTGTGTTTTCATATGACAAGACGCAAATGTTTACTCTTACAGACATAGAATGTAAAAAAATAACAACCATTAACATTTTACTCGATTTACTCAAGATGCAAAGGAAACATTTTTGGTCTACCAAACGCAACTTATGAGCCAAATTTCAAATAGGTAAGTCATGCAAATGTTTTACCACTTGTTACCTATAAATATAAGTGAAAACCCCTACAACACAGCAATCCCTTAAAAAAAAAAAAAAAACCAAGAAATTATTAAAATGGCAGCAATAAAATCTGTATTTTCACTGAAATTCTGCCCAAAAGTGCCAGTGGTGGTGCTCATGGCATTGGTTTTGCACAGCCAAATGGCTCAATCTCAGACACAAACTTGTTCGACTTCACTTGCAAATCTGAATGTGTGTGCACCATATGTGGTGCCTGGTGCAGCCAACACCAACCCTAGCCTTGACTGCTGCACTGCATTACAAGGTCTGGAACATGACTGCATTTGCAACACTCTCCGGATCGCCTCCCGTCTTCCAGTCCTGTGCAACCTCCCTTCCTTCTCTTGTGGTGGTTTGTTCTCTCTCCCCCTTTTTAGTTATTTCGGCTGATTTGCTAATATCTATTAATTCACTTTATCATAACATTCCATTTTTAATAATATTATTCGATACTATCTATCAAATCTTACAAAAGATTGTCGAATACAAATTAGGTAACACGTATCTCTCGATTTTTGAACTTATAGAGAGAGTGATTTCATTCTAATTAGGTGACAAATAAACAATTGAAACATTTGAACTTGAAGAGTTGGCATCCGAAAAAATCTTATTTGATCAAAATTGCATTTGATTATGTTTTTAACTATTTATTGTTTTATAATTTGAATGTTTCTTTGTGCAGCAAACTAAAGTTGGATGTGCTGATGACTGCAGAATAATGTCAAGAGTCTTAATAGTTTTTCGGACATTTTTATTTTCTTTTAATAACGACAGATGTCTATTGATCTGAAATGCAACATTTCAATGTAATGGAAGTCAGGGACAATTGTAATGAGATAAATTAATAAAGAGAACATGTTTATCCACATATAAAAAGAATTCGATAAAATATATTTGGTTTCAAATTTGAATAAATTCACCAAATCATATCGCCACCAACCATCCAAGCAATCGCTGACCATCACCTTACCCCAATTCCTTAAACTTGATTTTAGATATTAAAGTATATGAAACTCATCTACACCTCGTCGAAGAGGTAAAGTCAGGCAGCGATTTAATGTTTTCGATGATGTAAGTTATAAATTCGATGATTTAATGTATCCAACATTTTAGTGCTCGACGAAATTGGAAGAAAGAGTGTAATTACAACATTCAAATGACTCTTTATGATTTTATGATGAGCGAATTGAAAGCAAATTTTATGAAAATTATGGTGCAGAATTTGGGATGAAATATTTGGGCGGGATAAAAAATTCAAATTTCCGTGATGCTCAGAACCGATTGACCGGAGAATCCACAACACGTCTACCAAGAAAAGAAATGCCCAATCTGCTCTACAAACTAAGGTTGATCCAAAAGAGAATTTGGCCCAATCTCAACATGAACCCTACCCTTGTTAACTTGCTTCTGTGTACGAAAGGATCTGATTGTAAATGTGGATAATGCAATTATGACTGTAATAAAGTATGTAATTGGGCTAATAGTGATGGCGGCACAATGGTGATGCGAAGATAATGGGGGTGATGGTGGTGAATAGTATAGTGCAATGTTTGAACAAGATTTCAAATCAATGGTTTTATTGTGGAGGTAGTAACACGGTTTGTAACATAATGTGTTAGTAGGATTTGGAAGATTGTGACGGTGTTGCGATGGTGGCTTTTTCGATTGTCAAGTGCAATGACCGAGTGATGCGCAAGTAACGCGGTGGAACATGAGCAACACAATATGACTTTTTTAATCGAAGTAATATGTGGTAGCACAACATGTTAATCATGCAAGACTTTGTTATATATATATATATTAAATTTCAAGGGTATTTTACCAATTACCACTATTTGAATTGTTTTGCATGTTAGAATTTCACCTAATTCGATCCATGCCAAGTCCCATAATGAGTTATGTAAAACAGTTATCACTACTATCTTAAAAGAGCGAATCAGCCGGCTACTGTTTATTCAAGACGTATTTAGGTGTTTTCCATTTTACCCTGAACTCCCTCGCATAGTAACTCTCACACTAAGGGTCTAATGGCCTTTTTATATGTAGACAAAATATCTCTCCGCCTTGACAAAAAGTCAAAAATAGTGTGCTATCTAAAATGTTTGATTCATTCTCTTTCCAAAAGAAAACAAAATCCTCAGTTATCTAATTTCTTTTCATTCGTCTCATTGATTCAATCATTAAAAAAAATTTGTAATCATTTGCCGGAACTAAGAAATCCTTCACACAAACGCCCTTGCTGTTTCCTTTCTCACACAAAATCGCCTCCTCGACTTTTGGTGAAAATCCCTACTACAATAAAAGAGTGAATGTGAATAGCACTATTTCATTCAGGACGTATTTTGTGTATTCCCTATTTTATCCTTGAATATACCATAATATTCCACTTCACTCTTGAAATTACTATTAATGGTTTTCCTACGCGTGTGTGATGCTGCAATTTTGCCTGATTTGAATTTTTACGTCCAAAAAAAAAAAAATTGATGTCATTACAACATAATATTTTTTTAAGAAAATGATGTAAATTATATTGAGAAAATTGTCGTGAAAAAATAATAAATATTAATAAAATAATTAATTTTTTTAAAGAAAAATACAAATTATACGCATTTTTAACACACACGTTTGATGTACGTTTAATTATATTCGATAATCATTTAGATCATTCGACATGTCTATCATATAGTTCTCGAAATGACCTTCGAACGAATATAGAAAATTTATGCATTCGACTACTGTGCAGTCGTCGGTAAATTTTTAAAGTTAGATTGTTATCGAAATTTTTAATTTTTTAAATGATGTATCTTTTGACATTAAAAAAATTAAAAGTTTAGTAGAAAATTTTCTAAATGACGTCAAAAATTTTATTAGATTATTTAAAAAATTAATTGATCAAGAGGAAAAAGTAACAATAAGAAAAAAATTCCTAAAAATGATCGAATTCTTTTATATATAAAATTTTTTCATATGTTAAAATAATCAAAATGAAAAAATTAGTTGACCTTAATTTTGTGTTGTTATAATTGAAATGTATTTTCTAGGGATAGGATAAATGTTCCCTTTATGCATGGATTAAAAACCAAAATTATTGGAGCTCATAATTTACATATCAAACATTATTTTAGTCTGAGTGATTATTTTACATATAAAGGACGTATTTGATGATAACTATATTCAATATAATTAAATCTCGTAATTAATCGAATCCTTTTTTATTGTTCAATATCCAATCGATTTAATGAAAAGTGTTTTATTTATGTGTAATATTATTTTATGGAAGATTCTGCGATTGAAAATAAAAAAGAGAAAAATGAAAAAAAAAAATTAATGAAGCCAACACAAGTTGAGCCACAGTATAATATTTTGTTACTTAAATTGGGTTGAGATTTTTATTTAATCACCCAATTTTGATATATTTGAATTTAATCCTCCAAAATTTATATACATTTAAAATATTAAATATCGTCAAATAAATTAATCGACATCTTTTTGACTGACTAATAAATTTTTTCAACATTGTGTTAAATTTTTTTTTATTTATCGCAACTTCTTTTAAAAAATAAACAATATACATGTTTCAACATACTCCGTGTCACGTTATAAGGGTAAAATAGATTTGTATAAAAAAATATATCAATCACAAAAAAAAAGGCAAAAAAAAATTGCGACACAATACCCTGTCATGCTCTTGGGTGCCAAGATCCCAATTGCTCCATACATCACGAAGCAAAGCATGTGCAACAATATGTTTTTTCTTTTTTTTTTTAAATAATACTACATGTCATTTTTTTTCTTTTTTCATTAGGTGATTGATAATTTTTTTGTTTCAATTTTTTTCTTTTTCTTTTTTCATTGGGTGATTTATTTAGTTTTTTTATAAAAATCTACCATAAATCTTCTATATTCTCTCAAAACTCATTTTGAGAACTATATCATAGACACATCGAATGATCTAAATAAATATCAAAAATAATTAAATGTACATCGAACGTGTGTTTTAAAAAATGTGTATAATTCACTTTTTTCTCAAAAAATCAATTATTTATTAATGTTTTTTATTTTTCGTGATTATTTTCTCAATATAATTTACATCATTTTCTTAAAAAAAATAATATTTATGTGTATGACGTCAATTATTTTTCTTTTTGGACG